TTTAAAAAATGCCGAGGAGTCACTGGGTTGAGGTTGGTCCCAGTCTCCACCTGGTAAACCAATATGGCGACCTCGTTGACTTGGTTGAGTCGAACGTTTTGTAGAACTTTCCTTGCGTTAGAAGAGCAACTTACTTACAATCTGAGGCTTATCTACGAAGGCATAAATCCAAGTGCTGCCTTAGTAGCAAATATTGAATCATGCCAATCCACTGGATTCAGTGAAAGCGAAGATGATGGATTCTTATTAATGGCGGTTCCTAAAAAGAGGACTTCGGCTTCCAAAAAGAAGCTTCGAAATCGGCACAAGTGGCTGAAAAACAGATCCGATATCGAGACTTGCGTTGTATGTGGAAATCACAAGCTTGCTAATCATCTGTGTGGACACTGCCTGGCAGAAGTTAGAGAAAAAACTTCCGAGTTCCGAAAAGAAAGAAATGAAAGGGACTATCAGTGGCCTATACCTGAGATACTGCGAAAATTCAGAACGTAAACGATGAAAAAAAAGCTTAAGGGTTTAGTAAGAAACTGCAGGATAATTTATGGTCGGAAAATTTCCGCTGAGAACTCTTAAAAGTTGAAAAAAATTGCTTCAAGTTTGTCATCGGATCAACGCAAGTTCTTCTTCGATTCTTCAGCATATGAGCAGGCCTGTAATTTTATCCATTGAGAGCTAAATTGACTAAAGCAGAGGTGAACACTTTCTCTGGATTTATTTCATAGCTGTTGCCTGGCTAGACCTCTAGCAAGAAACAAAACTGTTTTAATGTTTCAGTGACTTCCTACTTTGCCCTGACCTTATATTTAATGCTTGTGAGAACATGATCTCAAATGGCTGCCTACCTCAAATAGCTTTCACATCTAATTCAAAAGCTATTGGACCTCAGAAAAAGCTCAATAAATTGTTCAGGTTCTTTTCTCTCTTTCTCTTTTTAAACTCGTGTGTCAAAAGCATGGTCTGGACCTCAGATAAGCTGGTCCCTTTCTGGTTCGTCCTAGATGTCAACTTGGGTGTAAACTAGTCACAGGAGGTTGGGGGAAGGTTAAGGGAACTTCCTTTTTTCCACCCCATATGCTTGAGTCAAATTTGTTGGAAGGTTTGATTTATTGATTCAAGTCATTCAACTAAGGGATGGGGGGAGAGGGTGGTAGTTTCAGTTCTCACATGATTGACAGATTTTTTAACAATTGCAATCTTGGAAAGCTGAGAAGAAGCAACGCCCAAAGGCCATTGCCAGCTCCCCTTCATTCAACCATTGTGTTCACACCGGGGGAGAGGGTACTTCCCAGTAAGAGGCTAATGGGATGTGCCGCTGGATAGGGTTGCATTTTCACAGCTGGATTGACTATGACAGGGTTGCATTTTCATTAGAGTTATCAGAATGGGATCACACAGTTTTGGGATTTGGGGGATAAGAAAATTCAGGTAGGTACAGACTTAAGAATCGGAAAGAAAGAAAGTTCAAGAAGACTGACTTTTCTTTTTCTCTATTTGAATCATTTTTGCTGCATTGCCCAGGGCAAAGCCACAATCATGAAATGTATGATGTCTAGTAAAGAAAAAAAGCCTGTTCCAGGTTCCTAAGGCTAAAGAGAAATGGCTGATGGATCACCCTTTTGAGAGAAGGGCAGGAGGGGATCGATGGGTTATTTCAGATGAAAAAAAAAAAACAACAGGTGACCAGATTTGGAACGAAGAATAACATTCTCGTGTGGAGTTTATGTTGGTAATGAAATTTGATAGGTGAGCTAGAATTCTTCCAGAAGTAAGCATAGTTTTCCAAATTAATCAACCCAAACTATTTTCCAAATCGTTTTCACGGGGCTGATTTTATCGAATCTTTTTTGTTATGGGTTATCAAATTTCGATTTGTTAACCAGCAGATTCATAGAAAAAAAAACCCACCACCATTGGCCTTGCACCAAAAATTTGTGTAGATACCCCACCCTGGCAACAAAAGGTATGTTCCCTTGCAGAGGCTAAAAATCGCAAATTCAGGTAGTTTTCAAAATACTCCTATAATCGCATTACAGTAAAACAAAAGTTGAAGGTGGAATGTCAGAAGTCGGAGATTTGTTTTATTTTCGATTCTTAAGCTCACAAATCCATTCTCCGTAGTCCCTGATCCTTGTTCCAAATTGACCCATAATTATTGCCGCCCAGGCATGCGCACAAGAAAACTGCATTATGCAAGAGCTTGCAAGAGTTATGCAAGAGTTTTGCAAAAGCCGGGAAACAGAGCAGGTTGCGAGCGGTTGCGTGCTGGTTCATTTCATTCTAGGTCCCAGAGCTGCCAGAGCCGCCAGAACTGCCGTCTGAGCTAAAAGCTCGAAGCTCTGGGAACGAGAATGGAACTGGTTGAGTCGATTAACGGAAGAGCGAGTTTTCCTGTTGCCTGCGAAATCGAAGTAAACGAAGTCCCCAGGATGACTAGTATAAATACAGATGAAGAGGATACATTTCCAGTGCTTAATCGAAGATCGCCTTGCGTTCATTCTAGCAGTCTTGTACGGTGCGATTGCGACGAGGACTTCGATGATGAAGATTCTCCACTCATATCGTACCAGAATCATTCTGATGGAAGCGACAATTATCTAACGGACATTCATTGTCACGAAGCAAAGCCTATCTATTCAAACGCAAAAGCAAGGAGAAAACTAGTGGTTGCTAGCTTCGTTTGCCTTCTCTTTGTGATCGCTGAAGTTGTAGGTAAGATTTGTAGATCAGAGTAATTTGATCAGTAGTCAACTACGGAGGTATGAGACTGCAGGAAAGCCCAGCATACTCTGAATTTAATTTTCTTCTCATTGAACAAGCTTAACCAACGAATATCAAAACAGTGCATTTCTTGTATGCCTCATTTGTTGAAGCTCAGAATTATTTTGCGCAATATCGCGCCTGAGAAATATTTCTCCACTGAAAAGCTGTTCCGATATTAAAACTTGCCCAGCCAAATGTCTGAAATGTCAGATCAAGGTTAAAAATAGAAGAGCACATGGAAGCTTTTGCTCATTTAAGTTTTGCATAATAAATATCATCCAACGAGTGATCGAATTAAAAGGAAAAATTCAGTAATGTAAAATTTGATGCCTCTTGTATGCTTTAGTGATCGAACGTACATGTGATAAGCTTTACTTTTTCCTAGCTCTTTATTGCTTCATTTATCGTAAACACGGCGAATTTGTGTCAGGTTGCAAAGGATCGTTTTGACAACCGGAAGAAAATAAATTGATGTATGTTGATCTATATGTTATCCATTCTATGTGTTAGACTTACGATAAAAGTAAAGGTGGGGATACCAGAGAGCTTCAAAGTAGGATGGTACCCCCTAAAAAAAACTGGGTCGAGTCACCTTAAGCAAGATGTCAACTTGGGTGTAAACTAGTCACAGGAGGTTGGGGAATGTTAAGGGAACTTCCTTTTTCCCCACCCCATATGCTTGAGTCAAATTTGCTGGAAGGCTTGATTCATTGATTCAAGTCATTCAACCGAGGGATGGGGGGAGGGAGTGGTAGTTTCAGTTCTCACATGATTGACAGATTTCATAACTGGGGCGATCTTGGAAAGCTGAAAAGAAGCAACACCCAAAGGCCATTGCCAGCTCCCCTTCATTCAACCATTGTGTTCACACTGGGGGAGAGGGTACTTCCCAGTAAGAGGCTAATGGGATGTGCCGTTGGATAGGGTTGCATTTTCACAGCTGGATTGACTATGATGAGGTTTCATTTTCATTAGAGTTTTCAGAATGGGATCACACATTTTTGGAATTTGGGGGATAAGAAAATTCAGGTAGGTACAGACTTAAGAATTGGGAAGCAAGAAAGTTCGAGAAGACTGACTTTTCTTTTTCTCTATTTGGATCATTTTTACTGCATTGCCCAGGGCAAAGCCTTAATCATGAAATGTATGATGTCTAGTAAAGAAAAAAAGCCTGTTCCAGGTTCCAAAGGCTAAAGAAAAATGGCTGATGGATCACCCTTTTGAGAGAAGGGCAGGAGGGGATCGATGGATTATTTCAGATAAAAAAAGAAAAACACAGGCGACCAGATTTGGAACGAAGAACAACATTCTCGTGTGGAGTTTATAGTGGTAATTAAATTTGATAGGTGAGCTAGAATTTTTCCAGAAGTACGCATAGTTTTCCAAATTAATCAACCCAAGCTATTTCCCAAATCGTTTTCACGGGGCTGATTTTATCGAATTTTCTTTTGTTATTGGTTATCAAGTTTCCATTTGTTAACCAACAGATTTATAGAAAAAAACCACCATTGGCCTTGCACCAAAAATTTGTGTATATACCCCACCGTCTGGCAATGAAACAAAAGGTATGTTCCCTTGCAGAGGCTAAAAATCGCAAATTCAGGTTGTTTTAAAGATAGTCCTATAATCGTATTAAAAAAAAAAAGGTGCAAGTGGAATGTCAGAAGTCAGAGATTTTTTTATTTTCGATTCTTAAGTTCACAAATCCATTCTCCGTAGTCCCTGATCCATATTCCATATTCACCTATAATCTTTGCCGCCCAGGCATGCGCACAAGAAAACTGCATTATGCAAGAGTTTTGCAAAAGCCGGGAAACAGAGCAGGTTGCGAGCGGTTGCGTGCTGGTTCATTTCATTCTAGGTCCCAGAGCTGCCAGAGCTGCCAGAGCTGCCGTCTAAGCCGAAAAGCTCGAAGCTCTGGGAACGAGCATGGAACTGGTTGAGTCGATTAACGGAAGAGCGAGTTATCCTGTTGCCTGCGAAATCGAAGTAAACGAAGTCCCCAGGATGACTAGTATAAATACAGACGAAGAAGATACATTTCCAGTTCTTAATCGAAGATCGCCTTGCGTTCATTCTAGCAGTCTTGTACGGTGCGATTGCGACGAGGACTTCGATGATGAAGATTCTCCACTCATATCGTACCAGAATCATTCTGATGGAAGCGACAATTATCTGACGGACATTCATTGTCACGAAGCAAAGCCTATCTATTCAAACGCAAAAGCAAGGAGAAAACTAGTGGTTGCTAGCTTCGTTTGCCTTCTCTTTGTGATCGCTGAAGTTGTAGGTAAGATTTGTAGATCAGAGTAATTTGATCAGTAGTCAACTACGGAGGTATGAGACTGCAGGAAAGCCCAGCATACTCTGAATTTAATTTTCTTCTCATTGAACAAGCTTAACCAACGAATATCAAAACAGTGCATTTCTTGTATGCCTCATTTGTTGAAGCTCAGAATTATTTTGCGCAATATCGCGCCTGAGAAATATTTCTCCACTGAAAAGCTGTTCCGATATTAAAACTTGCCCAGCCAAATGTCTGAAATGTCAGATCAAGGTTAAAAATAGAAGAGCACATGGAAGCTTTTGCTCATTTAAGTTTTGCATAATAAATATCATCCAACGAGTGATCGAATTAAAAGGAAAAATTCAGTAATGTAAAATTTGATGCCTCTTGTATGCTTTAGTGATCGAACGTACATGTGATAAGCTTTACTTTTTCCTAGCTCTTTATTGCTTCATTTATCGTAAACACGGCGAATTTGTGTCAGGTTGCAAAGGATCGTTTTGACAACCGGAAGAAAATAAATTGATGTATGACATTAAAATGTCTTTGATGTTTAATCAGTACCCGGAAAATGATAGAACTGGAGCTATTGATAGTAAATTTAATACGTCACTTAAACAAATAGATTCCATGTTCCTGTGCATATCTGTGCAGTAATGGGGAGCTTAGGCAACTACAAAGTAGTACGTTTCTTTGACGTCTACTGCACGACTACGACGTGAAACCTCTTAATTGGACGTTTTATGGGGAACGTGGACATACGCTGATGAATTTTCCTTCCTCTTTTTGAACCTGAATAAAATCCTTAAGAATTCAACTCCAGGAAAAGTCGCCTGCATTTTACATATTGAGGGGGTCCAGATAGATGTGTTTAAGTCTGAAAGAACACAAATTCATTTTTTTTACCGACGTTTTCACTGCCGTCGTCATCATCCCTGCTTAAGGTCCCCAATAGATCACAGATAATGTCAAAATGTGGTTAAAACAAAAAAGTGGCAGACGAGCTGCAGGTGAGTGTGTCACTGACATTTTTACCTCATTTTGACGTCATCTGTGGTCTATTACTTAACAGACCTACGGCAAAATGGAATCTATTTGTTTTATACAATGATCAGAAAAGAAAAAAGACAGATACACATACCTGCCTCGTACGGCTTGACTATAAGATATAGATGTATTAAAATATTCATAGCATTGAAACAGTCATAGATATCAACCAAAGTAAAAGATGTAATGCTCAAAGCAATGGCATGAATGGAAATAATAATATTATCTATATGAAATGAATCATATCTTGAACTGCGGATAAAGATATGAAAGTGGATATGAGAGGATCGTAAGGATATTTTAATGTACCCTTACTACCCCATTGATTTTGTTTCATACAGGTGGCCTGCTGGCTGGTAGCCTGGCTATCATGACAGATGCTGCTCACATGCTGTCAGATTTTGCTGCATTTCTTATAAGTCTTTTTGCTATTTGGGTGGCACATTGGCTTCCGGATAAGAAGAGAACATTTGGTTACTACAGAGCAGGTATATTGAAATTTGTATACATACTTTGTCTGCGAAAAACAGCCGTTTCTCCTTGCTCTGCACCGCTGGGATGTTTTGCGCAGAGGAACATCTGCATCTCAGTGGCAGAAATTGCATACTGATGACGTAAATCAATGTAAAACATAATAAATCTGGTAGTCATGGGGTTCCAAATGCAAATTTGTTCAATTTTACATTTTTCTAGGTTGGCAAAACTTAATTACTTCTTCTAGAGAAAAATTTATTCCACAAATATTGACTATTTTGTCAGAGATTCATTGCATTTACATTTGACCTTTGTGGCCTTTTGTCTTTTGTCTGTCATTGGTGTACAATAGCTAAAACAATGTAACTACTCTGTAGACCAATCAGTGCTTCTGACTGGATTCCAGACAGATTTTACATCATCAATATGGAATTTCTGTTGCTGAGTCGTAGACGTTCCTCCTCACAAAACCTCCCCAGGGGTGAGGAGTGAGGGGAAATGACTGTTTTCGCCGGCTAATAATTCAGTTGAACCTCCATGAAGCAGCCACCATTGGGGGACCAGGAAGTGGCCACTTAATCCCTTTAAGCCCCAATATACATGTACAAATTCTCCAAACTGATCTCTGTACATTTCCTTTAAGAATTAGTTAAGAGAATTTGATAAGAGATCAAAGTATTTTCTCTTAGGTGATCATTTTATTAATTATTCTCATAACCTAATCTCATGATAATGTATGGATATTAATTATTAGGAAAAAATTACTGTTGGTCACTATTGGGACTTAAAGGGCTAATGGACATGGTTGCTTATTAGGGGTTTGTAATAAATTGCAGTAATATAACATCACTTTTATTTTGAAATAAACACGTGATGGAAGCAGCACTACTGGTCCACAATCAATCATCTCTTTTTACCTCGGACTGTATTTTCCTTCACGAGAAAGCCAAACCAAGTGTATCAAGTGCTTGATAGCCCCTTAGTAAAGGTTACAACAATGGAAGAACTCTCATCAGAATGGCCAAAAGATGGCTGCAGCCACTTGCTGAAAGTGGCTGCTTAACTCGCCATTTTCACATAGACCATAATGCACCTTGTTTACCCCCCAAATTTTGCATAGCCATTTTTTCCAATATCTCCTGGGTATTAGGTAATAGCATGATTTGTAGTGATATTTTGAAATTTGAGATCATTTTGAAATATCACACGTGGTACATTGTACAGTAGTTTGCCAAATATCATGTACAAATCATGCTATTATTTGTTTATACTACTACCCACAAAAGGTTTGTAATTTTCACATGTAGGTATTTCAAATCAAGCTGAAATACCACTGCTCTAAGCCAATCAAATTGCAGAAATTTCTCATGTAGTAGNTAGGAAAAAATTACTGTTGGTCACTATTGGGACTTAAAGGGCTAATGGACATGGTTGCTTATTAGGGGTTTGTAATAAATTGCAGTAATATAACATCACTTTTATTTTGAAATAAACACGTGATGGAAGCAGCACTACTGGTCCACAATCAATCATCTCTTTTTACCTCGGACTGTATTTTCCTTCACGAGAAAGCCAAACCAAGTGTATCAAGTGCTTGATAGCCCCTTAGTAAAGGTTACAACAATGGAAGAACTCTCATCAGAATGGCCAAAAGATGGCTGCAGCCACTTGCTGAAAGTGGCTGCTTAACTCGCCATTTTCACATAGACCATAATGCACCTTGTTTACCCCCCAAATTTTGCATAGCCATTTTTTCCAATATCTCCTGGGTATTAGGTAATAGCATGATTTGTAGTGATATTTTGAAATTTGAGATCATTTTGAAATATCACACGTGGTACATTGTACAGTAGTTTGCCAAATATCATGTACAAATCATGCTATTATTTGTTTATACTACTACCCACAAAAGGTTTGTAATTTTCACATGTAGGTATTTCAAATCAAGCTGAAATACCACTGCTCTAAGCCAATCAAATTGCAGAAATTTCTCATGTAGTAGTATTACAACTGTAACACAGTGGAACCTTATCAATACGACCATGATTGGGCCACACAAAACAGGCTGTGCTCCCCCCACCTACCCGCCTGGGCAGGGAGGCTAAAAATTGAATCTGGTTATATATGGATCCAGATCATTTCTTTGTCGTGCAATCTTGACATGACACAAATGTTATGACTATAATTACATCTTTTCAACTTTCTACTTTTATAGAGTGTTTTCTCATGACATCACGGTGGCTATATTGGTGTCCCAGAACAATGAAATAGCCACCATGTTGGTGTCCCAAACCAGTCCTCTGGGAGTTGAACTCTTTTCTTATGCAAATGCGTTTATTTTCTTTTGTTGCAATAAATTTGCACAGATGCTGGCCATTTGAGTGAAAACGCTCTATTAATACCTTTTTGAACAATTTTTCTGACACATTTTTTCTTTCACTGTTTTCAGAGGTTCTTGGTGCTTTAGTATCAGTACTTATCATCTGGGTTTTGACAGGAGTGCTGGTTTATCTTGCTGTGCAGAGAGTTATAATGCAAGATTTTGATATAAATGCCGACATCATGCTCATCACTGCAGGAATTGGGCTTGGGGTAAACATCTTGTAAGTAACTTGTCAGTCGCCTATTAGAGATGTACACTTTGTGTGTAAATAAGCAACCATCCTCCTGCCTTCACCATTTGGGGTACCTGCCAATTTTACTTCACATGCCCTTCTACTTTGAGAGTTCATGAAACTCCTGGATACCCACCATCTTTGCCCGCTGTTAAGGACGGATGTAGTTTCTCAGGGGGCAAACAAGTGATAAAATCTGTCAGCAAAAGAAATTATGGTCGAGTTGTTTGTTCTAGACAGAAGAAAATTAAGAACTTTATAATCTTAGAGATGATAATGGTAAATTATGGGTGGAAGTGATTGTTGTTACTTTTTGTAATGCAGTAGTGACTGTAGATGTCCTCATAGCAAGCAATAATGACATGAAACTTGTTGAAACTCTAATAATTATTATTGTACATTTTGTGTGACTATTTACTCTTTGTTTCATTTTTAGAGAACAAATAAACTTGACTGCAATTACTCATATTGGTAGCTTTATCACTTAATTGCCCCCTGAAATACCGCATGACATGGCTTTTATCCCATCAATCCTAACCGGCATGTAAAGGTGGTGTGTATAGTGAATAATGTCTAGTGACTTGATTTTCAGTATTTTTGAATACTTTGTTCTTACTGTTGCAGGCTTGGCATAATTCTCCACCAGACAGGAATGGGACATAATCATAGCCATGGGATGGGTGGTAGTCATGGCCACGGCCAAGGCCACAGCCACAGTAACAACAAAGAAGAATCTATTAGAAGAATATCCAGAAGCAACAGCCTGCGTCATTCAGAAAAACAGAACATCAATGTGCGAGCAGCATTTATACATGTCTTAGGAGACATTGTACAAAGTGTTGGTGTTCTTATTGCAGCCTACATTATTAAATTTAAGGTAATTCAGAGAATGTAGTGTTTTTAGGGTATAGATTGATTGTGACACCTTATGAACTCTTTTACATAAGTAGAGTACGGAAGGTTTATTCTGATGTGTAAAATAATCATTACAAGTGTGGTATATGCATGTATAGCTTTCCTGTATATAATATGCAATTTAATCTTTTGACTTTATTGTAAGATTTCAGAGTAATAAGAGGTTTAAATTTTGAAAATTGCATGCAAGGTTTCTTAAGCTATTGGTAACAGTAGAGCATTCATTTGGAATACCCTCAATTTCATCAGTGTGTCAAGTCATTGCACTTGCGTAGCGAACTCAGAGGATTGTTCCAGATTTCTGGTAGTTGCCATTAGGTCACCAGTTTCAGCCCCAAAAATGAAATAAACTCGAAACAATGCAAGGAAACAAAGTCCATATGAGTGATTGTGCTTTGAAAGCACTGGAACTAAGAACTTTGCAACTCTTTTAAGGGTTTTTACAAAGCCTTGCAGGGTTGTCGCTAAAATTTCAAATTGCTGGGTATAAGCAATTAGTAGTAGGGGTAATGTACAGCTGGGAAGTTCTTTTGGCTCTCTTTCCTTTTGTTTCCTATGAAAGTAGCAGGGGCTCACACTCATAGTAGCTGGGGGAAATCCCCGGCCCCCTAGCTCTTAGTGACAGCCCTGCCTCGGAAAATCTTTGGAAATCTTTAGGCTTCTTTGATCAACCGGACCTCTGTGTGGAATCCCCAGTGGTTGTCTTGAGATAAAACCCTCTTGCAGCGCCGTAGCTAGTATGAGGCCAACCGAGGCACTCGNAAGTGATAAAATCTGTCAGCAAAAGAAATTATGGTCGAGTTGTTTGTTCTAGACAGAAGAAAATTAAGAACTTTATAATCTTAGAGATGATAATGGTAAATTATGGGTGGAAGTGATTGTTGTTACTTTTTGTAATGCAGTAGTGACTGTAGATGTCCTCATAGCAAGCAATAATGACATGAAACTTGTTGAAACTCTAATAATTATTATTGTACATTTTGTGTGACTATTTACTCTTTGTTTCATTTTTAGAGAACAAATAAACTTGACTGCAATTACTCATATTGGTAGCTTTATCACTTAATTGCCCCCTGAAATACCGCATGACATGGCTTTTATCCCATCAATCCTAACCGGCATGTAAAGATGGTGTGTATAGTGAATAATGTCTAGTGACTTGATTTTCAGTATTTTTGAATACTTTGTTCTTACTGTTGCAGGCTTGGCATAATTCTCCACCAGACAGGAATGGGACATAATCATAGCCATGGGATGGGTGGTAGTCATGGCCACGGCCAAGGCCACAGCCACAGTAACAACAAAGAAGAATCTATTAGAAGAATATCCAGAAGCAACAGCCTGCGTCATTCAGAAAAACAGAACATCAATGTGCGAGCAGCATTTATACATGTCTTAGGAGACATTGTACAAAGTGTTGGTGTTCTTATTGCAGCCTACATTATTAAATTTAAGGTAATTCAGAGAATGTAGTGTTTTTAGGGTATAGATTGATTGTGACACCTTATGAACTCTTTTACATAAGTAGAGTACGGAAGGTTTATTCTGATGTGTAAAATAATCATTACAAGTGTGGTATATGCATGTATAGCTTTCCTGTATATAATATGCAATTTAATCTTTTGACTTTATTGTAAGATTTCAGAGTAATAAGAGGTTTAAATTTTGAAAATTGCATGCAAGGTTTCTTAAGCTATTGGTAACAGTAGAGCATTCATTTGGAATACCCTCAATTTCATCAGTGTGTCAAGTCATTGCACTTGCGTAGCGAACTCAGAGGATTGTTCCAGATTTCTGGTAGTTGCCATTAGGTCACCAGTTTCAGCCCCAAAAATGAAATAAACTCGAAACAATGCAAGGAAACAAAGTCCATATGAGTGATTGTGCTTTGAAAGCACTGGAACTAAGAACTTTGCAACTCTTTTAAGGGTTTTCACAAAGCCTTGCAGGGTTGTCGCTAAAATTTCAAATTGCTGGGTATAAGCAATTAGTAGTAGGGGTAATGTACAGCTGGGAAGTTCTTTTGGCTCTCTTTTCTTTTGTTTCCTATGAAAGTAGCAGGGGCTCACACTCATAGTAGCTGGGGGAAATCCCCGGCCCCCTAGCTCTTAGTGACAGCCCTGCCTCGGAAAATCTTTGGAAATCTTTAGGCTTCTTTGATCAACCGGACCTCTGTGTGGAATCCCCAGTGGTTGTCTTGAGATAAAACCCTCTTGGTTGTCTTTGACTCTAGAAAGGTTGGCATATGCAAAGTTAACTGATTTTCATAAATAGCTATTGACATTGTCCTAAATGCTTTTCTGTTGTTGTATTCAACAGCCAGAGTGGAAGCTTGCTGATCCAATTTGTACGTTTGTCTTCTCTTTGGTGGTTCTTATAACTACATTAAACATACTTAAGGAGACGATTCACGTCCTTATGGAAGGTACGAGATGACAAAATAATGTATCACCGTGACGGCTGTGCTCTAGCAGGGCACAATGGCCCCTGGCACCTAAGTTTTGCTCCAGGGTGACTGGAAAATCTTAGTTTTTTTTTCATAGAAATCATATTATAGGCACTGTGCGTTACACAGGTTTAGAGCACTGGGCTTCCTTCAGTTTTTCTTAGGGTACAGCCTTTATCGCCTTTTCTGTATATATCTAATTGCTTTGAACTGAATAGCAGTGAATATTCTCTTACTCTGACTTCATTATGCCTGTATAGATTTGACATTAGGGAGCTTAAGCAACAACGTTGGCAACAGCTACTAAAACACTTGTCGGGCAATTTTTCAGGTGCTGAATTCTAAAGAACTATATTGAAGTTCATAAAAACAGAAAGGAAGTTGTTGCCTTGTGGTCATAAACTCCACAAAACATGAAATTAGGCACTTTCATGTCGTGTTCATGCAATGACTTTACGCAGTTTTTGTTTTGCCAATCTAAACCTATTGCTTTTTTGCCATTCTCATTGCCACTGTCATTTTTGTTTCTTAAGCACCCTACAGTAGCATTTGGTAAGCTTAGTTTGCAGTATCTTGCCTGTAAGATGATTCTGGGCATAGTTACATTAAAAAACAAATAAAAAAGGAAACAAGTAGGTCAGATGTTTTTGGATAGGTGTCAGTGAAATTCTGATTAACTGCTTATTCTCCGCACCATTTCCCTTGTATATGCTTGCGAATCATAGGGAGAATTCAATACTAGATCAGGAGTTTATTCCATGCACTTGTTGTATTTATTTATTAAATATTGGTATCTTTGTGAAAATTAGTATGGGATTTTTTTGATAGTAGACAAAACTTAAGTTCATCTGAATTTTCAATTACAGCAGTTTTATTAACATTATTTCATTATTAACATTATTTGATTAGGGACACCAAAAGACATTAAGTATAACTCTGTCAAGATGTCACTGGAGAGCATCGAAGGTGTTGTCGCTGCACATAGTTTACACATCTGGTCTCTAACAGTCAACAAGGCAGCTTTGGCTGTACATCTGGCCATAGGTATCTGAGTACTAATAACAAAGTATTGTGTGAAGGGGGTAGTTTAATAAATTTTAATAATTTATTATTGTTGTAGAATAGGGCATTTCCAAATTACCACACGAGCACGCAGTCCTTTCAATACCAAATAACAGTCCCACTTGAATATCTCACAATTTTGCATATTTATGTGAATGTTTCAATAATCAACCAATCAAAATCACTACTGTAACCCAGTTTTCTAGTAGAGACATCACCAGACAGCATTAGTGGCTAGGTGATTGAGATGTTTGCAATTAGAGAAAGCTGAAATTCAGGCTCTCACCAGCAAATCATAAGGAGAGGGATTAAGAGTAGGTTGAGGGTTAAGTTACACAATATTCAATTTGATCTGTTTTGCTAGGCATAAGTTTAAGAGACTCATTAAGATGCACTATTTTAAAGAGGCCTGTAGCGACCTGCCGTGAGCTATTGTAGATTACCATTTTCCACTTTTATCTTCTCTTTTTACTGTTATGAGTTTTGCTAAATTACTTTTTAGGAAGGAAATGTAACAATGATCAAGCTTTAGTATATAGAGAGTATGTAATATAACTTTTGTTTTAGTCCTATTCGAGTGTTATGCGCATTTGATCATGTCAAACAACAAATATTATTATTATTATTATTATTATTATTATTATAAATATTATTAAGTAGTGCCTGGTGTTACTCTGTTTTACTGCTTTGTATATGTTTTGGATTCAACCATTTATGACTGTAGATTTTTCATGACTCAACTTGGACAAATATTGCTTTCCACAGTTTTTGGAAATATACTCTTGTTATCTTGTTACAATTTCAGAGCAAGGGCATGACTCTCAGAAAGTTCTCAACATAGCAAACCAGAAGTTGAAGAATGAGTTTCGCATTTTCCACAGCACCATACAAGTGGAACTGTACCAGGAATCTGTCATGACCAACTGTGTTGATTGCCAAGACTTACAAGACTAGATCCCATGTTGGCAAAATTTGACATATCTAAACCAGTTAAAGGATCATACACTGAAAGTTCATCCAAGAATCTGTAAAAGTTTTTAAGCAGTTCTTAGTAAGTTATTAGTTGACAGGAGTAATTCTTTCACAAGGAATAATTCATTTATGACTTTTTTAGCTAACACTGTAGGTTCTATTGTGCCACAAATGTATCAAAAAAGTTTTTATTGTTTACAAAAGTGAATGCGGCTTGCTAACCTGAAATGTAAGTACAGTGAGTAGGGCATTCCATGTGATAATAAGCTTGCAAGTGTAGTTTTTTAAGAGTTTTTATCTTGAAAAGATTGTCCTCATAATGACTTAATAGGAGTAGTGTATGATCAGTGGCTTTGACAAGAAAGCTGCCATAAGGTCATAATTTGATAACTAGATCAGTTGCAGTTGAACTAATATATCATAAATGTCTGAGTATCACTTTCATACATAGAATTATGCACTGCATTTTAGGAGAGTGTTTAAGAGGTCAAGGTTACCGTGTTTTTTTCTACAATACATTTTCAATGTAATGCTAGAGCTGTAAAATTTGGGATCATCATATGTTTCTGGCAAACTGTCCACCTACCCCTCCCCTAAGCCAACATCAACAGTTACTTCTCACTTAGGGCAAAATGTTGTTTTAGGGGAGGGGAAGGTGGGCAGTTTCCCAGAAATGTATAATGATCCAAATTCATAACAGTCGGCCATTGGACCATGTCCAGCAAAATCCTCGTTGTGATCAGACATGATGTCTGGACAGATCAAATACTAATGACTCATTATAAAGTTGAAAGATTTAATAGTATTTAAAAAAGTTGAAAGTCAGTGTTACCTATGCCACCTGGTTTGTCTGACTAAAAATATTAATAGGGATGTTGTCGCACAGAAAATTGTAGCCCTGATATCCACCAGTAACCCTTACCTCTCACAGGGTTGTCACTAAGAGTTCAAGTTGCCGGGTAAATACAACATGTAGGCGCGGAATCAAACAGCAAGGGGTTTCTTTTGGTTCTATTTTTCTTCTATTTCCCTTGAAAGTAGCCGGGGCACACGTCCATAGTACCCTTGGAAAATCCCTGGCCCCTACCTCTTAATGACAGCCCTGCTCTCAGAACTAAGTGTGCTGCCAAAAAAAGTACATTAATTTTGTTGTGCATTCTATGTCTGAATGTGAAACTTGATGATCAATACATTCATGATTTACAAGAGAAAATAGAGAAATCTTATCAAAAACGAATAACAGACTGTTCCACATTCTGGTGAACCAAGGCACAAACTTGAGGCTCGGGTGACAAAAATGTAGCGATTTGTGTGAAATTGTCCACCCTAGTCTTGCCTTGTCTTTGTGTTTTTTCACTGGAACAGAATAAGGGACAGGTCATTTATTTATCATTTTTTTTAAATAAAAATAAATTATATGTATATGTATAATCAAGGCTAATAAACTATTTTTTTAGGCATTGAATTGTCCAGAAAATATTTTAAGTTTAAATAAATAATCCAGTAGTACCCTAAAATAAGTAAAATAATAAATGAATAAATACTTAATTATCTTCTCCCCTTATGAGGAAAATCCCTTGCGGTGTTGCAACTCGCTTCGCGTGGAAGTACCCCCGGTACAACAATCTCACCAGCTACATGGGCAGAAACAAAAATGTATGACTTTCCCAACTATATGTTATTTCAGAGCTGAACTGCATCAGAAAATCCAATCAAAATCAGTAACAATTTTTCGTCCTTTGGCGACACACACACACACGAACACACACCAATAAAGCTCACTACGTTCAAATTCTATATTTTATAGGAAAGAGCTACTGAAGGGTTTCTATAACATGGTTTCATTTCATAAAGAGAAAGACGACAAGATTCAAGGGTATCTCTTTCTTTTTATGAGAACTCTTCCAGTTGGATTCCCCCCGGAGACCAGAGTGCCAAAAATTGAGGTCATTTAATATGCAACAGGTTACATTCTTATTATATTCTGCAGATAAGCTTATTTTAAAAACAGATATCTTTGCAATTTTCCGGGTGTCAGTCAACGTGGTACACTAGGTTTAGCCAATCAAAAACTGAGTAGCCTGTTAGCAAGCTCTCCATGGTGCTATTGATTACTTACTACCATTATTTTGTGCCATTTTAGTTTGATGATACGTTTATTAAACCAATCGGTAATGCCAGCTCAACATTCACTTTTGCATTAGTACTCTTTTAGAGATTTGCCACAGTTATTTTACTTACTAAGAGGACTATGTGCTTTTTGTGACATTGATCTAATTGCGTGACTAAGCGTGACTCTTAAAGCGTGACTCTTGAACATACTCGCTGCGCTTGCGCGGGACATCTCCAAAATTCAAAATGGCGCACTCCAGAGGATTTTATCGTCCAAGAGGACCTCCGCCGCGATTTCCACCTTCTCACGGAATACCTCCCCCTCCATTGATGCGTTCTCCTTCACCTCGTTTTGTTGGCCAACCTAGGGCGCCATTTTCCTCTGATTTTGTCATTGGTGGTGGTCCTCTCCAAGATGCTAAACCACCGAAGAGAGCGCCAATGGCTGGCGCCCGTCATAATACTCCGTTAAAAAAGCCTGCTCATCTCTGTGTTGGCTTTGACGCCTCGCAGAGGTTTCCCAACGCAAAGGAACGGCTGCATAATGTTCTTCAAGGTGCCATGAAAGGCAACTCGATGAGGTTTGATAGTAGAGAAGTGGGCGATAAATGGCAAGCCACTGTTAATGCAAGTGTAGTTTTTTAAGAGTTTTTATCTTGAAAAGATTGTCCTCATAATGACTTAATAGGAGTAGTGTATGATCAGTGGCTTTGACAAGAAAGCTGCCATAAGGTCATAATTTGATAACTAGATCAGTTGCAGTTGAACTAATATATCATAAATGTCTGAGTATCACTTTCATACATAGAATTATGCACTGCATTTTAGGAGAGTGTTTAAGAGGTCAAGGTTACCGTGTTTTTTTCTACAATACATTTTCAATGTAATGCTAGAGCTGTAAAATTTGGGATCATCATATGTTTCTGGCAAACTGTCCACCTACCCCTCCCCTAAGCCAACATCAACAGTTACTTCTCACTTAGGGCAAAATGTTGTTTTAGGGGAGGGGAAGGTGGGCAGTTTCCCAGAAATGTATAATGATCCAAATTCATAACAGTCGGCCATTGGACCATGTCCAGCAAAATCCTCGTTGTGATCAGACATGATGTCTGGACAGATCAAATACTAATGACTCATTATAAAGTTGAAAGATTTAATAGTATTTAAAAAAGTTGAAAGTCAGTGTTACCTATGCCACCTGGTTTGTCTGACTAAAAATATTAATAGGGATGTTGTCGCACAGAAAATTGTAGCCCTGATATCCACCAGTAACCCTTACCTCTCACAGGGTTGTCACTAAGAGTTCAAGTTGCCGGGTAAATACAACATGTAGGCGCGGAATCAAACAGCAAGGGGTTTCTTTTGGTTCTATTTTTCTTCTATTTCCCTTGAAAGTAGCCGGGGCACACGTCCATAGTACCCTTGGAAAATCCCTGGCCCCTACCTCTTAATGACAGCCCTGCTCTCAGAACTAAGTGTGCTGCCAAAAAAAGTACATTAATTTTGTTGTGCATTCTATGTCTGAATGTGAAACTTGATGATCAATACATTCATGATTTACAAGAGAAAATAGAGAAATCTTATCAAAAACGAATAACAGACTGTTCCACATTCTGGTGAACCAAGGCACAAACTTGAGGCTCGGGTGACAAAAATGTAGCGATTTGTGTGAAATTGTCCACCCTAGTCTTGCCTTGTCTTTGTGTTTTTTCACTGGAACAGAATAAGGGACAGGTCATTTATTTATCATTTTTTTTAAATAAAAATAAATTATATGTATATGTATAATCAAGGCTAATAAACTATTTTTTTAGGCATTGAATTGTCCAGAAAATATTTTAAGTTTAAATAAATAATCCAGTAGTACCCTAAAATAAGTAAAATAATAAATGAATAAATACTTAATTATCTTCTCCCCTTATGAGGAAAATCCCTTGCGGTGTTGCAACTCGCTTCGCGTGGAAGTACCCCCGGTACAACAATCTCACCAGCTACATGGGCAGAAACAAAAATGTATGACTTTCCCAACTATATGTTATTTCAGAGCTGAACTGCATCAGAAAATCCAATCAAAATCAGTAACAATTTTTCGTCCTTTGGCGACACACACACACACGAACACACACCAATAAAGCTCACTACGTTCAAATTCTATATTTTATAGGAAAGAGCTACTGAAGGGTTTCTATAACATGGTTTCATTTCATAAAGAGAAAGACGACAAGATTCAAGGGTATCTCTTTCTTTTTATGAGAACTCTTCCAGTTGGATTCCCCCCGGAGACCAGAGTGCCAAAAATTGAGGTCATTTAATATGCAACAGGTTACATTCTTATTATATTCTGCAGATAAGCTTATTTTAAAAACAGATATCTTTGCAATTTTCCGGGTGTCAGTCAACGTGGTACACTAGGTTTAGCCAATCAAAAACTGAGTAGCCTGTTAGCAAGCTCTCCATGGTGCTATTGATTACTTACTACCATTATTTTGTGCCATTTTAGTTTGATGATACGTTTATTAAACCAATCGGTAATGCCAGCTCAACATTCACTTTTGCATTAGTACTCTTTTAGAGATTTGCCACAGTTATTTTACTTACTAAGAGGACTATGTGCTTTTTGTGACATTGATCTAATTGCGTGACTAAGCGTGACTCTTAAAGCGTGACTCTTGAACATACTCGCTGCGCTTGCGCGGGACATCTCCAAAATTCAAAATGGCGCACTCCAGAGGATTTTATCGTCCAAGAGGACCTCCGCCGCGATTTCCACCTTCTCACGGAATACCTCCCCCTCCATTGATGCGTTCTCCTTCACCTCGTTTTGTTGGCCAACCTAGGGCGCCATTTTCCTCTGATTTTGTCATTGGTGGTGGTCCTCTCCAAGATGCTAAACCACCGAAGAGAGCGCCAATGGCTGGCGCCCGTCATAATACTCCGTTAAAAAAGCCTGCTCATCTCTGTGTTGGCTTTGACGCCTCGCAGAGGTTTCCCAACGCAAAGGAACGGCTGCATAATGTTCTTCAAGGTGCCATGAAAGGCAACTCGATGAGGTTTGATAGTAGAGAAGTGGGCGATAAATGGCAAGCCACTGTTAATATTCCCTGGCCGCGCGAAATGTCGTTTTATGGCGAAGGGCCCTCGAAAAAAGAGGCTGAGAAAAATGTTGCAGCGATTGCCTGTGTTGAGCTCGAGGTATAAAACTTTTAAAAGTAATTTTAATGCCATTGCAGTGCTTCAAGTTCAACTTTGGTGACCTAACGTTATAAAATGCTGGTCGACCGACATTTATTTTTGGTGTAAAAGTCTTTTTTTATTTTATTCTGGTCATTCATTTAAAATCCATGTACACAGTTTATGTATGCGGATAAGTATTAGGAAAACCAATTGCCTATCCAGTGGACAGTGCTATCCACCCTTTCGCACAACCGGGGCATGCTCAAAATGAGCAGAAAATCGAAACTTTGTCCGGACAATAACGGTCATCTTGGTTGGACATTGTCAGTGACCTTGTTCCAAAGGTTCTCTGTGGGATGAGTAGGAGAGAAACCTTAGGAATGAGAATGCATTCTCAGTTGATTGGCAATTATTTAGAACCCTGCACCAGGTAGCTTGCAAATGGCAGATGTTTCTCCTCGCTCATCACCGCTGGGGGACGTTTCGTGGGGAGGAACGTCTGCTACTCAGTGACAGAAATGCCATACTGATGACGTGAATCAATGTTTACATAATAAATCTGGTAGTCATAAGTTTTCAAATGCAAATTTGTTCAATTTTACGTTTCTCCTGGTCAATTTTGGTAAAGTGTTGTGTTCATCTGCGCATGAGCTCCAGCAAAACTCAAATGCTTCTTCTAGAGAAGTCTTTGTTCCACAAATATGGGCAGTTTTGTTAGAGATTCTTCGCGTTTACATTTGACCTGTGTGGCTTTTTGTCTTTTGTCTGTCATTCGTAAACAATAGCTAAAACAATAAAACTACTCCGTCAACCAATTAGCGCTTCTGACCGGATTCTGGACAGATTTTGCGTCATCAGTATGGAAATTCTGTGGCTGAGTAGCAGACGTTCCTCCTCGCGAAATGTCCCTCAGTGGTGATGAGTGAGGAGAAACGTCTGCCGTTTTGCAGGCTATGCATCAGGAGTCAATCAATCAATCAAGTTTTATTCACAGTATCTCTTCATTAAAAATGCTCTTCCAGTGAGCCGTTTACATAACAAATTTTAAGAGAAACCATAGTAATACTAAAAATATATCTATATATTAAGAAAACTATCCTATAATTAATTTACACAAAAATCAACCTAAAATGTACATTATATAACTAAAATAAGTTTTA